TTTTCAGTCAAACTCAATTTGGTTCTCAGTTCCTTTTGAAAGATCCCTAAGACACTGTGTTATGGTGTTCAATGTGTTGTTGATTATTTATTTTTATTCTTGGTTGTTCAAGAGCTAGATGTATCATTTTTTAAGGAATCATTTCAGAAATTTGAAATGTGTTTGTCATAATAAAGACCAGGGAAACTGTGTGGGTCAACAGCATCCATCCTCACTACTATGAATGAATAAATGAATAAACAAACAAACCAACAATCAAATGAATAAATAAGGGGTTGACAATGCATCCAAATTTCAACCTAACAGCTTTCTTTTCTAAATGAGAAAGGTTAAGGAAAACAGACCCTGAGACACAAGGGGAGGGAAATGTTAAACAACTGCACTTGAGAATTCCATTGCATAATTCCACCAAGTAAGTATTACTATATTGGCAATAATTCTCAAGCTGGATAGATAATATAGGCAGAAGAGTAAAACTGGGATGGAAAAGATTATACATTTTATATATGTATGGGTTTTAATCTTCTACAAAATATCTAAGGAAATATTTAACAAGCAGTTGGAACTTGGCTTTGCTGAGGTTACAGGGGGATTAGACACTTGGGAGTCATCAGGATACGTCATGGAAATGGTTGTGTCTCAAAAGAAGAGCTTGTATAGGAAGATGAGATAAAAATTAAAAATAAAGTCATAAGAAACAGTAATAGTAAAAGATAGGAGAATAAGGAGAAACTAAAACATGGTAGATAACGAGTAAGCAGAGAGATAGGAAAAGCAAGGGAGATATTTTCATGGAAGGCAAAGGTGTATTTCAAATAAAGAATGAATAGAGGCATCCATCCTCACTACTATGAATGAATAAATGAGTAAACAAACAAACCAACAATCAAATGAATAAATAAGGGGTTGACAATGCATCCAAATTTCAACCTAACAGCTTTCTTTTCTAAATGAGAAAGGTTAAGGAAAACAGACCCTGAGACACAAGGGGAGGGAAATGTTAAACAACTGCACTTGAGAATTCCACTGCATAATTCCACCAAGTAAGTATTACTATATTAGCGTAGTAATAGTACGTTATTAGATTTTAATGTAACCTATTCAGATAGTTTAAGTAGTAATGGAAACCAGAATGCAGTAAAGTAAGTTGGAGAATGAAAAAGAAGTTCTGACAGAAATCCAGGCTGTTCTGTAAAGAAGGATGCTGATGAGAACATAGTAAAGGAGATATCATGTGGATAAAGCAGTCAAGAATGTTTACCGTGAGAAAGACATAAAACTTTTCTTATGGAAATAAAAAAGCTATTTTACAAAACATATATATTTGAAAAGATATGTACGTTCATGACTTCTACAAGACATAACTCACCATCAACAAAACAAAAACAACTTACTGAATGGTAGACAACACTCCCCAATGATACATATGATGAGTTAAAATTCAAAATATACTAGAGGCCCGATGCACAAAATTCGTACAAGGGGCTCAGCCCTCACAGCTGCCACAGCTTACCCCAGCTTCATCTGGAAGGTTGTCTGGAAGGTCGTTTGGCTGTCTGGTCTAATTAACATATTACACTTTTATTATTATTATAGATAAGTAACTCATATAACTTAACACCAAAAAAAAAAAAAAATCCCAAATAATCAAATTAAAAAATGGGCAGAGGACCTGGATAGACATTTCTCCCAAGAGGACATACAGATGACAAACAGACATTTGAAAAGATACTCAAGATCACTAATCATTAGAGAACTGCAAATAAAAACCACAATGAGATATCACCTCACACTTGTTAAAATGGCTATCATCAATAAAGCAATAAGAAACAAGTGTTGGTGAGGATGTAGAGAAAAGGGAACTTTCATGCAGTGTTAGTGGGATTGTAAACTGGTGCAGCCACTATAAAAAACAGTATGGAGGTTCCTCGAAAAATTAAAAACAGAATTACCATATGACCCAGCAATTCTACTTCGGGGTATTTATCTAAAGAAATTTAAAACACTAATTTGAAAAGATATATACACCTCTATGTTCACTGCAGCATTATTTACAATAGCCAAGATATGAAAGCAACCTAAGTGTCCATCGATAAAGAAGTTGTGGTGCATACATACAATGGCATATTACTCAGCTAAAAAGAGAATGTAATCTTGCCATTTGTGGCAACATGGATGGATCCATATAATATTATGATAAGTGAAATGAATCAGACAGAGAAAGACAAATATCTTATTATATCACTTATATGTGAAATCTAAAATACAACATAAATGAACAAACAAAACAGAAACAAACTCCTAGATACAGAGAACAGGTTGATGATCACGATATGGGGGTTGGGGGTAGGAGAATTGGTGGAAAAGGTGAAAGGGATTAAGAAGTACAAATTGGCCCTAGCCAGTTTGGCTCAGTGGATAGAGCGTTGGCCTGTGGACCAAAGGGTCTCAGGTTCGATTCCAGTCAAGGGCAAGACTCTTGGTTGCAGGCTCCTCCCGGCCCTGGCCCTGGTAGGGGCTCATGCAGGAAGCAACCAATCGATGTGTTTCTCTCACATCGATGTTTCTCTCTGTCTTTCCCTCTCTCTTCCACACTCCCTAAAAGTCAATGGAAAAATATCCTTGGGTGAGGATAACAACAACAAAAAAGAAGTACAAATTGCCAATTGTAAAAATAGTCACAGGAAAAAAAAATAGTCACAGGGATGTAATGTACAACATAGGAAATATAGTTAATAAGACTGTAATAATTCTGTATGGTATCAGATGGATACTAGATTTATTGGGGTGATCACTTCATAAGGTATATAAATGTCTAATCACTATGTTGCACACCTGAAACTAATATACTATTATATGTCAACTACAATTGAAAAATAAATTTAAAAAAATAAAAGAATGAGACTACTCAAAAAGAGACATCTCTTGCATAATAATATTTAGACATTACTGACTATTGAAGAAAGATAGAGTTAATCAGATATGAGGTACCTTCCTATCCCACTACTACTCCCTGCCCTGAACTCAAGGCAACTAAGCTGGTTAGGACCACATGTTACCACCTTCACACTCACCCTCAAAACATCCATCCCCGTGGGAGTGTCCTTCACTGACCAGCTATCATTCCCTCTGAAGATTAGTTTGAACAAGAAATGCAGAAATCACATCAGGGAGAATAGGTCCACTCAGGGTTAAGGAGGTCATTTTCCCTATATACACAATAATAAACAGAGAAATGTGATCTTCAGAGAGAGACAGAAGCTCAGAGAAAAGTCAGTGCAAAGAATATGTGCCCTGAAAGGGATCAAAAAAAGAGGAGACAAAGAGAGAGGGGGGGGGGGGGGGGGGGGGGGGGGGAGAGAGAGAGAGAGAGAGAGAGAGAGAGAATGAATAGCTGCCTCAGTCCCAATCCACTGTGCCTGTTTCTACTGCAGTTTATTCCCATAAAGGCAAGTTACACATCACACGAAATGCTCCTAAATCCCTTTAATAAACCACCTGCATTGTGAGATAAGTGAATGCATTTTCTTTCCTAGCAACTAAGTAATTTTGCCTAAAAACATGGCTCCTTTTCGGATCCTTCCAATGAAATTTAGAAAACTTCCCTTACAAAGCTATGGATAATTTAAATGTCCAGCTACAATGCTATCAATCTTATCATGAGAAGGAAGGTGACATGGCAAATGCACTGAATTTTACTTATGGAAAAGGATGAGCTTATTACAGCACTTTTCTTCAATCTGTGGAAAAGTCACTAAAACAGACGGTTCTTTGAATCTTTCTTCAAATGCTTCTGTTCTATGCTTCATAACAAAAATAAATATTCCTTTCATGAAAGAAAGGATCAGTAAATTATTATTTTTACCACCATACCCAGGCTCCCAGTTTCCCCAAATCAGTCTCTGAGCTTGGGGTCACCCCTTATGTCACCTCAATTCTCTAAAGAAAACATTCCTCCTCTCCAAACTGCACAGGAAATCAGATATATCAGATAACACATGTAATCACAGCTCATATATATCCGAGCCCAGGTAACAGCCTACAACCATGGGAAGCTGGAAAATCTGAGCCTGTGGGCCTGGACAGTGTCCCGCCGGCCTCTCAGCCCTGGTGCAGCTGCCAATTCTCTCTGTACTCAGATTTCACGTGGCACCCGGTTAAGTCCTTTTCAGGATGCTCTTTTCAACCCCCTTCAGCCCTTCCTGCTAGGTCTGGCCTAATTCCAACCCCACAGGTCAACAAACAAGCTGATCTGGGCCACCAATGACTAGCCAGAGAGCCCCACTCTCATCCCTCTCTTCCCACCTCTGCCTCTTTATCTGCCTCCCTCTGATGCCCTGAACCTGTAAATTCCCCAGGTGAGCAGAGCAGCTCTTAACAATAGAGGAATGGAAAGATCAGGAAAAAAGAGACTGTAAGTGACTTGAGGACAGACTCTATGTCTGTGTTGCTCATATTGTACCCTCAGAAGCTGGGCTGGGAGACAGCATGAGGACGTACTTAGAAAATACTGTTGAACAAATGAGCTACAAGGACGGCGGGATAGTAAGTCACTCTGCCTGCACCCAAGTACGTACTTCCCATTCTCTCAGAAGTGAAGCCTCCCAAAAAGACACAGACTCACTATTTCATCACTCTAAACCTCATCCAGCTTCAAACATTACAGGAAACTGACATCATTTCTTTAAAAAATAAAAAGTAGATGAGACTAATCCATTTCACATACTGAGGTATCTTTCTGTAAAAAGCTCTTCTAAATGTTATTCTAGGGTTCTTTAAAATGTCATTTATTTTCTATGACAATTCTTACAGGAAGGTTATAGGCATGTCAGTTTAATATTAATAAATCAATATCCATCATAAATCATAATATTATGGTTTTACAGGAAGGTAGGCATGTCAGTTTAATATTAATAAATCAACATCAATATCCACCATAAATCATGATATTATGGTTTATGTTATTAAATCATCATAAAAAACATAAAATATGAACTTACATGTTTGGACAAGTTGGGGCTCTTTGAATCAACATCGTACCTAAAAGATTAAAATGGGAAACTCAAATTATTTCCATAACACACAACTAGAGAAAAATATCAGCATTTTTTAAAAAACATAAATAATATAGAAAGCATTCAAAATTGTATCAGTGGGGAGAGAAATTTTTACTTCTACAACCTAAGTAAGGAGTCCTAATATTTCAGTCATCAATTCCGCTACTTGAAAATACAAGTTTAAAACTTCTCTTTCCTGCGAAGCAAATAGTGTTTTAATACTATTCAAAATTCCCCAAAAACTGCAATTCCTCTTTCTGGATCATTAAAAAAAGAAGCAGAGAGGCTGATAACAAGGTGCCATTTGTTTTTTGGGGTTTTTGTTTGTTTTTTGTTTTATTTTTTAAATATATTTTTTTAGATTTGGACAGGGAGAGAGATAGAAACATCAAGATGAGAAAGAATCATTGACTGGCTGCCTCCTGCACACCCACTACTGGGGATCAAGCCTGCAACCCAGGCATGTGCCCTTGACAGGACTCAAACCCAGGACCCTTCACTCCACAGTCCAATGCTCTATCCACTGAGCCAAACCGGGTAGGGCACAGGCTGTCATTTACATGCATTTTAATTCTTACTTAATATATTAAATGCTGTTGTTAACTTGGGAAGTTGGCTAAAGTAAGGAGACATTATTTTTCCCCAATCACAGAACTTGGAGAAAACATGTATGTTATAGTAAGAAAAATGTGTTTCTACAGGATTACTATATGTCCTGTTTTAGACTAGTTGTACTGAAATAAATGATTTCTTGAAGAGATACCAGGAAGACATCATTCACTACCACTTTGGCCCCTCTTTTTAAAGAATTTGTAGAAATGGTAAAATCACTGACAGTCGAAAAAACCAGAATTTGCCAAATTCTTGAATAGGAAGATATTTGTACTCATTCCAGTCTTCCTCCCAAATCATATTCCTTGCACATCCCTTATGCATAGCTTCCTACCAAAAATTAACTGCCTTTTTTTAAGGTTAATTAAAGTCTTCCCTCACACAAAGCAAGAATGTTTTCACAAAGAAACAAAGCATCTCAATCAATGAAAGGCCAAGAACTGGAGTTCATCGAGTGCACTGATGCAGGACAGAGGTGCACTTAACCCCTAGTCAAGACTGTTTACCACAGATTGGCTTTACAATTATGTGATGCAAATACCAGCCTCAGAAGAATTACACATCACTCTCCTCCCAAACAGGGTGCTCTGGGCACTCGCAACAGCTGGAACCTAGAATTTTACATCAGCAAGTGGCCAGCATCTATTGAAGACCAGCCGATGTTAGTACAAAAAGTACTTCTTACTCAAGACATTGTTCTTATTCAAGGCTTTCTTTTTTTTTAAGGCTAAGACTGAAATTAGCAACTGTAGTAACATCAAAGGTGAAACATAACTACACTGGCTCCTTCCCAAGACTCAGTCCCTGAAACTGGTTTCTATAAAGGCTTTAGTGTGGACTGGGGAGACACTACATGGTGTGATCTGTTACAGGAAGCAAAAAGAAAGGAGTTTAGGTTTTCATTACAAAGATTTACCTTCAAATACAACCCTCTTCCATTGTCTTCAGCAAAGCTTTTTAAATGCTATTATCTCAAAAATGGGTAATTTATAGCATATCTCTAAAGGCTTCAGATATGTTGAATTATAATGCATTCTAAATGACAGTGATTTTTCCATCAATGGAATTTTCCTTCTAACATTTCTAAAAGTATCAAGACTAACTGTGGTCCTCACCCTCACAAGTCAGAACATAAACATTACATCCTAATGGTTACAGAGTGTGTGTGTGGTCGTGATGGTGGTGGTAGGGGGTTATGAATGCCATACTCTGCTTAAGAGAGAATACATTGCAGAACAGGAAGCTCCGTAGTTTACCCTGAGGACTGTGCACCCCGCTGTGCCTAAATTTACTAAGGGGAATTTTGTAAGCAACTTCATCTAGCTACCGAAATCCTATTATTAGAGTACCTGATGGGCAGTAACTGCTTTGGATGGATCCTAAGGGCTGTTTTCTATTACACTGTAGCAGATGTTGACTGGAATGATTCCTGTATTCTAAAATTCCTACTAAGGTCCAAAGCTGAAAACAAAAGAAGCCAAGTATCATGCTTAGCTCGGAGCTGCCAATGGATGAGTCAGACCCTTCTCCAGGAAGCTTGCTCATAAAGTGACAGCCTATTCCCTACCTCTTGGGAGGGCAGGAGGCGGTTCTTTCACTGCCCAAAGCCAAGGGAAGGGAAGCTCCAAAACCTGGGCTGCTCCTCAGAAGGGGAGGGCAGCATCTGGTTCCCTGGACAGCTGGAGATCCAACCTGCCTGCAGGTCCACCCTGCAGCTGCCAGGGGAAGAGAATGTCAGTTCAGCCCCAGGAAATGCCTGCTGAGAGCTGAGGAACAAGGACAACAGTCTATTTAGTTCCTCCTCCAGGATGAGGAAGACAAGTGCTTAACACAGGTCCCTGGAGGTTGGTACCCTCTACTGTCTAGATTTTTCAGGAGGTAGGAGAGCCACATCTTTGCCTCCCACTCCCCTACCTTTCTGCTCGTCCACCTCCCTTTTCTCCTACAAGTAGCTGAAAGGGTAGCTCCAATGGAGAAGAGAGGTTGTGAATTAAGTTTGAGAGGAAAGTTTTAAAGTAAAGAGTGCATAACGATTCAAAGTAAGATGGTTCTTGCCCTAACCGATTTGGCTCAGTGGATAGAGCATCGGCCTGCAGACTCAAGGGTCCCAGGTTCGATTCTGGTCAAGGGCATGTACCTTGGCTGCGGGCACATCCCCGGTAGGGGGCGTGCAGGAGGCAGCTGATTAATGTTTCTTGTTCATCGATGTTTCCAACTCTCTATCCCTCTCCCTTCCTCTCTGTAAAAAATCAATAAAATATATTTTTTTTTAAAAAAAAGTAAGATGGTTCTCATAAAAAAAAGTCACTCAAAAGTCATGAATTTAGAATATTAAATAAAGAAGCCATTAACCAATAGGGAAAACTGGAATTGACAGAGTTGGGACAGTTATTGGAAAACTTAAAACAATTTTTTTTGGTATTGGGGTAACAAGAAACTTTCACTTTTTCAATGCCTATATTATTTAAAGTTTATAATAAATATGTATAACTTCTAAATGAGAGAAAACAATACAGATGAATGAGAAAGAAGAAAGAGAGAAGGGGAAATAAAGAGGGAAACAAAGAATCATGAAATAGTGGCTGGTTTTTGGATAAAGTTAAGTCTAAAATAGAGGGGAAAATTAGGGGGGTACCATGCTGATGTAAGAAAAAAGGTAAATGGATTTTAAAAATTACTCTGAAGGCCCTGAACAATGGGAGAATTAAACTGCATTCGACCTGATTTATATGTTTTTAAATAACAACACTATATGCAATCTCCATGATAAACATGGTCAGGAAATCATGACATTCCACTAAGTATTGTGTTTTTTTCTTATGAGTCTCATTTTTATTACTTCTAAAGGGGGTTACAAGGAAATGAAAACCAAATGGGGCATAAAAATTTTTCTTTGATAAATATAATGAATACTTAGAACTCCTACAAGTCTTGAAGGAAAGGGGCTGGTATAAAATATTGTTTTTTGAAACAAGCACGGCAGGTTATTTTACTGGACACATTTTAGAGAAAAATGAGAAACACTACTAACAGTAGAGACCTTTTTATTACATAGGGAGGCAAACTATGACTTTTTCAAATAAAACTTTTGAAATCTTTATAAATTGTGACAGCACAGTATACTTCATTGTTTTCAGCTATTCAAAATAAGATTGATCTCTTTAAATACACATGATGTTCATAAGCTCTCTTTAATTATTTCAATATTTTAAGCACATATTATAATATGACATACTTTTCCTTCTCAATAGATTTCCTTTTAACAAAATCCAGGAAGTTCAACAATCACCACAGTTTATCTCTGTGGAACAAAAACTCAATGATAATATCTTACAAGCAGACTGACTCCAGATTCTCTGTGAACAGGGAGTTGATGTTAACAATAGTATTTTAATATGGCTGATACAGTATCAAAAATCACAGGAATATTGAAAATACCAAAATTATCAAGCATCCTGGGCCTTGGAAATATGAGGCCATGATGTGATAAAAAGAAACCATAGTTAGGCAGGGATGCATGTACCATATAAAGAGGCAGCTGAGAGAAACTTAAAGATCTGAGAGACATCCCCCATGGGTAGATGAGATCACTGTGGAGTACAGGCAGAACTTGCAAGATTAAGGCATAGGACAGTTTGAAAGAATGTCCATATATACTGCTCAGCATTTCTGCATGGTTAAATTGTTCACTTACTATTTCAACAGACATACAACCAAAAACCTGTAAAATGCACAGCAGTACTATGGCAATGCTCAGCTCACATGCTAAATAAAATAATCTAATTTCCTGACAATATAATCTAGTATTCAGTGCAACCATAGGACCTAGCCTTAGGTTATTAAAATTGCCTTTAAATATTAATTCTTTTAAATACAAGTTTTAGTTGAACTTACAAGTCAAAACGAAGATTCTCTCTTTCTTCAAAAAAGTAGTCCAGAATAAATTTTCTTACAAAATCCGGGTTGAGTGTATTATCAATTACTTCAGTCCTTCCAAACTGTTGAGGGAGAGAGAGGTTAAATCAAGCCTTGCATTACTTTTATAATATCAACTTAGTATTAACATAGTTCCTTGAAAATATAAACAACAAATATCCAAGTGATTTGATAAAATAAAGCCCTTCAGAAAGTTTTTAGAGATCAAATCATTCCCTCTTATTTATGGGAATCAGAACATGAGCACTGAGTTCATTCAAATTACTAGAAAAGCAGCTTCTGAAAATTCATATAAAAGGCTTCCCCTTTGCTCCCCATATGAACGCCAAATCCCTTTCTAATCAAAAAAAGTTATTTCTATCTTAATTTTAAATTCATCACATATATTTTGCCTAACCTAGTGCATAACTCATCTAAGCAACACATATTCTTACACTCGGAGGAGTCAAAGTATTCATAATCAAGCAGTCCTCTACACTAGTGGTCGCCAACCTTCGGACCTCACAGAGGTGACAGGGGCTCAGCCCCGGCTGATGAGCAGGAGTTGGGGGAGAGAAGTGATTGGATTCTTATACCTGGAGGTAGAGCCAACAGGATGGAGGTGTGAGAGAGGAGGTGAGGGTATAGCCAGGATATGCAGGCACTGGCCCAGAGAGCACTAGTGGTCCGCGCGGACCACCGGTTGGCAACCGCTGCTCTACACAATACAGTGATTAGCCATGTTTGGGGCAGAAATTTTTTATTCTCTATTATACACTTTAATCACTTGGTTTTTGTTTTGTTTTCATTCTTATGGTACCTAGACAGCCAACACGGAATCGATGATTCTTACACGTTTTAAGCTAGTACATTGCATTTTTACTCAGAAAAAATAAGTTTCCCCAACTTAGGGGATGTGAAACCAAGAAACAAAACTCCACATCTAGACTTCCTTCCTTTCCTTTCAATGTGAAGGAAGGCCACCAGGCACTGCCTCCTAAGATCAAGCAGAAATTTTTTATCTCTTTTTTGTATTAGGCTCACATTCTTACCCTCCTGTTGTCATGGAATTCTAATGAGGGAATTTGAACCTCCGGTTCTGAACAGCATTATGCATGCTGTCTTATCAGAGAACCAACTTTTATTCAAGTTCAAGGAAAAACTATCCTTTTAATAGGAACAAAAGAACTGTACTAATCCACTAAAAAGTGAAGGTCATGAGCTTACATAAATTTTGATAATGAAACGATGGTACAAAATACCAATGACAAAGGACTTACTATGGCTATTGCTAATTATCCAAATAGGAACTAGTTTGCAGAGGCTTATGCACTGGGCAATGTTTTAAGTCATGGACAAATATCATATAGATAAACCATAACCAAGGTAACTAATTCAACATTTCCAAAATACTGAGCTTTTACTTTGAACAATAATAATGATGACAGCCACTATTGAGTACTTACTTGGTTCTAAGCACTTTTCACACATTAGTTTAAATTTTTATCATAACCCTGAATAGTGAGTAATGTTTGTCCCACTTTAAAGATTACAGAATTCAAGCACAGGGTCCCGACCTAAGTCACTGTGGCTACTAAATCTACATTCTCTCTAGGTCTCTCCTCTATTTCAGCATAGAACATGCTACCTGAAAAGCTTCCACAATGAGCTTATCCATGGTCCCCACTTTCAGGGAATGGGAACAAGAACGGGTACCTAATAGCCCCAGGCAGGCAGTGCAGAGGTCAAGGAGTGCAAATTTGAACCAGAGACAGCCTGAGCCCTCCCAGCCTTCATACCGACTGAGGGCAAAATGGATTCCAGGCCAGAGCATCAAATGAGCAAATACACAATAGTCTCAAATAGACACTCAGCCAGTATTCATATTCCCTAGCGCCCAAATCCTTCTTGTGGATTTCAACCCACACCCACACTCAGTGGTAAGAAGATAACGTACAGTTCCCAAGGGTAAACCCCATTGAATTGCAAGCCAGCGATTCCCAAGGGCCACTGAACCATTAAAACATCCACCAGCCTGTTTCTTAGGGAACATTGGCTTGTCAGCAATATGGGTGACTGAGCATATTCTACTATCTCAAGTGAAGATTAATATGTAGCCATTAAAATTTTAGCTAATCTCCTATAAATTATTAACACCTATTACTATAAGCCTCTAACACATAGCCCTGAAATTGCTTTTGATGATATCACCAATAACCTTCATATTGCTAAATCCAGTGGTCACTTTTGGGGCCTCCTCCCACTAGACGGCTCAGCAGCATTTGACACAGCTGTCCACTCCTTCCTTTCTGAAGCCAGCTTTTCTGGCTTTTTGACAGCACACTACCCTGTTTTCCCCCTCTTAGATTCTCCGTGCAATCTCTCCTTGTCAAAGCACAGTTTTTGGACCTCTCCATCTCTCTTTCTTCTCTCTTCAATTAGGTTATTTTATCTGCTCCATTGACTTGAAATCCCATCTACATGATGATAACTTCCAAATGTGTATCATTAGCCCAGACTCAACCTGAGTATAGTAGACTTATGCATACAACTGTCTTAACTTACACATTCAGCTGTCTTACAGGCCTTTCAGAATTATCATCTAAACTTAAATGTTTATTGTAAACCACAACCACCACTCCAATGCTGGTGCTTACCAAATCTACCCTTTGTCAATTAATGATACCACTATCTACTTGATTCCACAGATAAATGGGAGTCATCCTCCTCAACTCCTCTTCATCACAATCTCAGAAATTGTCAATTCCAACTCTAAAACACATCTTTGAGCTCTTTACTTCTCTCCATAGCTCCTGTCATTAGATTAATTCAAGCTTTCATCTTTCTCATGATCACTTCAAGGGCCTCCTAACTCACATCTCTCTTTATTCTTTTTCTCTCTCCAACTCATCCTCCATATAACATCCAGAGTAATCTTCTAAAAAATGAAAACACAGAAATGCAATTTCATCACTCTAAAAGTTTTTATTGGCTTCCCATGGTACTTGACATAAATATTTTCTTTTGTCTACAGGGCCTGGACCCATCTACCTCTTGACCTTCATCATGGGCCAGTATCCCCTCTTTTCTCTTTGCCCCAGCCAGCTGGTCTTCCTTTAGGTCCCCTCGCACACCAAATCCTTTCCATCTTATGGCCTTTGCACCTGCTCTCACTCTAAATGTTTTTATTGGCTTCCCATGGTACTTGACATAAATATTATCTTTTGTCTACAGGGCCTGGACCCATCTACCTCTTGACCTTCATCATGGGCCAGTATCCCCTCTTTTCTCTTTGCCCCAGCCAGCTGGTCTTCCTTTAGGTCCCCTCGCACACCAAATCCTTTCCATCTTATGGCCTTTGCACCTGCTCTGTCTTCTTCCTAGGATTCTCTTAACCCCATTCTTGCATTTCATCCTTTAAGCCTCTATTTAAATGTCAGCATTCTGGCTCTATATGACACCCACTTTAAAGTTGGTCCCTTCCTCTGAACTTATTCTCCTTATGGAACCTGGTTTTTTTCTTCCATAAAACTTATACTTTGGAATTATAGTTTTATTTGTTTGCTTGTTTTATATTTCCCTCACCAGACAATTGAGCTCCATGAAGACACAGAACGTACACATATTTGATTTACACCTGTACAAAATTGAACAAATGTTTAACTAAAGGAAATATGCAACCTATTGTTCAAAGAGAAAAAATCAATGTATAATATATCAATTTTTATAAAAATATAAGTTTATATGTATACAGATAAAAAGAGAAGGTATACTAGAATGTAGATATTACCTTCGAATTATTTTTTATTATGTATTTCTGGGTTTTCCTAATGTCTTACAGTGAGTATGATTTGCTTTTAAAATCAGAAACATAAACCTTTTAAGCACTGCTCCTGTTCCTCAGATATATTATGATTAGTTCAGCTCATGGGAAATATGTTGGTTCCTTCCCAGAGGCTGGAATTATATTAGCTACCCACCAAGTGATTAATCCTTATGACTTGAAATAAAATTTGTCTTAGCTAATGCCTTATATTACTAAATAAAACTTTTCTAATTGCTAGAAAAATGTAGTTACATACAATGCTATGCAGTTCCAAGGGGGATTAGAATTTCGCAGAAAGACAATTATTAATAATATTTATGATGGCACACATCTAAAAACAGCTACATTTGAAAGAATTGTAACTTATATCCTCAAAAGTCTTTTTCTGAATATCGGTAATACTGGATTGTCAGAGGTACCTACAAACCTGATTGTAATAATCTCTGGCACAATGACCTTATCCAAATATATGGACAGTCAAGCACTGTAACATAATTGTACAGTAGTAAGTTTCATCATCTCACAATTCAAACAATTGTTAGAGAAATGTTCTTTTGGTCACCAAGAGTGAAAGTTTTCAGTCATTTGAAAAAAAAAAGTATATAAACTGTTATTTTTGATATAACACAAAACATTGTTTCTTGTAAAACGTTAAGCAAAATTAAAAAACAATTCACAATCAAGACTTTGAAAGTTTTCCTTTGTTTTGTGCATGAGCTAATTGGATAAATACGTACTTTTCCAATTTAGAACAAATTGTGTAGAAAATGATGGAATAGAAATATTCCTGATTTTTAAACGAACTAATTGTTAGACTGTTTCAGAGGAGCAGTACTGGAAAGAACATTCATCTATTTATGGCACAAAGCAGATGAACTCTTGTTTTGAGAAAAATGTTCAGAAATGTTTAACATATTGTGAAGGCCCAGAACAACCACCCGGTATCATATTCATTTTTCAACTGAAGTAAAAATGATGAAGTTAAAAGGTCACCTGGACCAGCACACATCTTTAATTCAGTTGTTACATTAGAATTAAATCTTAGTAGTGGTGATAGAGAGGACAGTCACCAGAGATTAGACTAGAGGATTAGATAAACTGAGTAGTGCAGACATATTATTAAGATAAATTCAAGAAAAGAACCTCAGTTTAGGACTATACATATTTAACCTGCATAGAAGATACCAAGTGGAAGTGCATGTACTAGTGTATGAACACAAACCGGAAATTGAAGATTTACATTCTTATACAATTCCT